TAATCGGCCAAATGTCGAGGCTTTGCGCCAATTTACTCATTATTTTATCGAATGTCTAATTTATTCATGATCTCACATCCTGCCAAATTGTTAATGGCCGATTCGTTAATTTATTCGGCTAAATTGCATAGGATGTTTAATTTGATCTTACATCCTACTAGATTGTTAACTGTCGATTCGTTAACTTATGCGGCTAAATAGCAAAGACATTTTGATCGGATGTTTAATTTACTCATATGCAGCAGACAAAAGCGTAGAAAATTTTCATTAATAAATTGAAAGCAGATAGTATATGTAGTAGATAGAAAAGCATAGGAAATTTTCATTAATACAGCTAGTAGTCATTTTACACATAAAAATTACCTTACATTTAACTTCCAATCGATGTAAAGAAATGAAAATCTACTAACAAAAACATACAAAAACTATGCATCTAAGATGCCTAACAAAAATCAAAATATCACCCTAATCAATCTTCAGGGTCAAACTCTAGCGGCTCAACGTCCATCTGCTTGTATGGAATCGGCTGCGCCAATGTCACATTAGCAGAAGTGAGGGCTTTGAGCCAGCTGTGTTTGAAGCCTCGATTCTCAAACTTGGGCACTTCCTTCACGTAGTTCTCCAAGGCAGTGTCCTTTCCAGCTTCGAACGCTTTGGAAATCTCGATGTCGGCTATTTCCTTTGCCTTCTTTGACTCTTCCAAATTGGCTTCCAGCTTGGCAATCACCTCATTGGCTAACTTGAGCGCATCTTCCCTCGCGTTTGGCCTCTCTTCGGCGGTCAGCCTTAGTAGGTCAGAATTCTTTGCCTTTTTGGCCTCGGAGTCGGCTCTCGCATGTTCCTCCTCCGTTTTCGCTGCCTCGGGATCGACTCTTTGAGAGGCTTCCACAACCTTGCTCTTTTCATTTTCAATTTCGACTTTTAGCAAACCGTTTTGTTCAATGGCGTTATGTTGACGGTGGCCGATTTCGGCTATCCTGCCCACCATCTGCAAAACAAGGAATTAGAGAGATAAAAATTAAAATATATATATATATATATATATATAAAAATTGAAGTACTACTCCCCTAAATTTTGCATTTCATGAACTGTAGATTCTTGGCCACTCACTATAATAATTTAGGTTCAAAAAGTAAAACAGTATAATAAGAACATAACCAAAACGTCGTGTGTTCATTTGCAAAGTCACACCTTCTCAGGTAGGGATGTCTAAGAGCTTCCTTTGCTTTGAGTTGCTCTGCTCGGTCATATCACAGAAGCCCCTGCAAGAGATCAATCAGATCACTAGCAGAGTGATTCACATGCCGCATTATCAGGTTCTGCAATTATTTTTTTAAAAAAAACAAACACACAGAGAGAGAGAGAGAGAGAGAGAGAGAGAAGAGACCAAATTATTTTACATAAAGAAGAGAAGGGAAAATATTATAAGAACAAGATGACGGTCTTTGAAGATATGTTTACATGATCATAAAATAAGCATTATTTATCAATATTGGAAATGCAAAAGACATAGAAAACGCCGAACAAGTGGGAAACATACAAGTAGATTGGTGAAACAAGGTTGGAGAACCAACAATATTGGGAATTGATGATTTTTTGAATTGAGTACATCTATACTTCATAAATCAAAACAGAAACATTTTTTTTGGTTTCATTACATATACCATATAGCATTGCTGATTCAAAATTCAAGTCCTTCCAATCTCAACAAACCTTTATCATGGAGATCATTTTTATCTTGGTTCCTTTGTGTTCCATGTGGAATAAATTAGCGAGATCTTTTAATGTAAACAAATTAATAAGAAGACCAAACCAAAGAAAGGACAAAATTAAAAGACATAATGAGTATTTGAAATCATATTAAGAATTAAAGATAGCTTTCCACCTAATATTAGATCAGATATAATTATGAGAAAAACTTTTGATCTTGGTTTCTTTGTGTCATGTGGATTAAATTAGCAAGAACTTTTGATATAAACAAAATAATAAAAAGTCCCAACCAAAGAAAAAGAGAAAAAAGAAACATAAAATGGGCACCTAATTGGTAATTGAAGTCATTTTAAAATTAAGGATAGATTTCCACCTAATAGTTGATCAAATATAATACTGAGGAGTTTCTATAAAATAAAACTAATCACACAAGTGGAAAAGCAAAAATTTCTTTTCTTCTTGGACATACCTTTATTTGTGGTAACAAGAAGATTTCCTACAAAAGTTCTAACAGCAGCAGCTTGTTATCTGTGGTAACAAGGAGACTTCCTACAAAAGTTCTGACACTGATTTCTAAACTAAAAAAGAAAAAGCTATAAGCAAAGTCCCATAGGCTGCACCAAACAGGATTTCCTAATGAAATATTTTTTCACCTGACTAATGAAATATTTTTTTATTAAATATTTTTCAGCTTGCAAAAATCCAAAGCTAATGAAATATTTTTGGGTCTATTTTGGTTCTTGTTCATGCCCCCCCTCATTTTTTTGGATGGCGGTTATGAACAGGATTATGTGGTTCGTAGATCGGGTGGTTTGACTAGTTTAGTTGTTGTTTTTGTTCTGTGGGTTTTTATTTTGTATAGCTCTTGTTAGGGCCTGGGGTATGCCCCTTGTAGCTCCAAATTCCAATTCCAAAAGGGGAAATTACAGGAAGGAGCAAATCCCATGGTGATTCTAAGCTTCCAAGCAGTATTAGTCCAGTTTCTTTCAACCATTCTACTCTGTTTATTGACCTTATCATCATTAAATTTTTTATAAAAAAAAATTATAAAGCTTTTCTTGTCTCTTTCAACCATTGTTTTAGAAGTAAACATTATAACTCTTTTTGAGCCAAGTTTGGTGCCATATTGTAGTCTTTTATTTGGGGTTTAGCATAATAACCAAAACAATTAAACTAATCTAAAAACAACAAAAACCAAAACAGAATTTAACTGCAGACTTGAGACTTAAGGTGGTTGCACGACTGTATTGTGAAAACAAGCAATTTAAATCAATAGATAACAGTCCAGATAGCTAACCTAACGCCACCCATTTGTTTAGAAATCCACCCTGCAGCATTTAACTTTGCACCCATCCTTGCGGCTACAATATCATCACCACTGCCTCTTAATCGCTCCTGAAAATAAAACAACTCATGGGATAGATTAATTAATAATTAATAAAGTTCACTTTTGATGACAATTTGTTCAAAGACTACAAGACATATACCTCCGTTCTAGCCTTGCTTTGGGAAACAAACTGCTTAAACCACTTCTGGTCTTTAAATTGAACATCTTGAAGAATGCGGTTGACCTACAACCAACCAAAGGGACAACACAAATTTTTATCAAAAACATTAAAATGATTAGGCAATCAAAGTGATAGGCTAAATATAAGACACAAGTTGATACATTTATCACGATAAGGAAAAAAAATTCAGCATTTATATTTTCAACTGTACCTGGTTATTTTTCCCTTCAAGTTCCCAGCCTGTACAAAGCTAATGAGGGAATCGACATTACCCTCAGATTCAATGTGCTCCACTTAAATAAATTTTCTTTTACTCCAGCTCTTGGAACATCCTACTTAATTAAAAGTTGCCCATGAATGAGAATTTTCTAACAGATCATATGATGAAAACCATTGGCTTAAGGTATAGTGACTCGAAACCTAACTATTTTTCTCTTCTTTCTCTTTTCTGTTATTTTCTTATTGGGTAATTTACAATTAAATTTTTGTTTTCTTACTCTACTCCATCTTCCCCTTTTGTGAATCTATATATAATAATCAACACTCCCATATTTTTATAAAGTTTAATCTGAAATCCCTCCATTTGAAATGCATTAATCCAAGCAGAACCTTGGTTTCTCATAGCATGCTACAATCACTCCACATAATGATTTGTGCCACATATACCAGGTTGGGGGAGACTTCAAACAATGTAAGCACAATATTTATCCTTTTCTTTTCTTTATAGATGACAGGTACAGAAATAACTCCTTGTGCAACTATAAGATATTTCTTGTAAACTTGGGAAACAGAGTCCAAATTCCTATAATGAAGGATACAGTAACAATGATATAACAGTTAAGTATACAACTTAATCATTTATGTATATCCTTAATGCCTTAAAAAAATGTCAAACAAAAAGAATCTCAAATTCAGAAAAGTATAGTTCTGCTAACATGTTATAGTTCTCCTGATGCATAAAATAATAAGAACACCATCAAATGTGCATACCGATATATCTTCTTTTGGAGCAAAACTGAGACAACAAACATGTCTTGATCACCATTCACCTGTACGAGGGCAACAACTAGAAGTTCATCTACATATTCCAAGCAGAAATCTAAACAAGAAATATACTAGGACTTTATATTCTGAATTAATGTCTCCTACATTAGACACAATTCTCGTGACTGTTACTCTCCTCTTCAAGTTGGGAATGGTAATAGAAGGCAGGTTTAGGTTAAGTATGAAGTGATTGCTTTTCATGCAGTTGGTTGTTTTGGTTAATCTGCTAATGGAAATGTTGCTGTAACCCATGGCACACATAAATTGAATGTAGTCTTGTTTGCTAATATTGTAAATAAGGCCTCGCTTGGGAACCCTCGTTTTTAATCAAAAAGTCAAAAAGTTACTAAATTAGCCAAAAAGCCAACAACCCATACAAAAAAGTCAAAGATTCTATTTTTTCTCTACTTTTTGCACATCTTTTCGTAAAAAGTCAAAAAGTCATCCCAAACATACTAGTTTTTTTTAGCTCATATTTTAGCCAAATAGCCAAAAAGTTACTAAATTAGCCTGTTCCCAAACGAAGCCTAAGTCCTGGATTTATTGCTCTGTTGGGATTGACATGCCCACCACCAATGTCGAATGGATCAGCCTTCTTGAGCGTTGGTCCCATCTCGGTTATGTCTGTTCCATCTGTTCCCTTTTGTGATACTAGTGATTGCTTGTTTATTAGAGTCAAGTGTGGATTGCAAGAAGAAATAAATGAAACAAAAAAGAAAAAGAAAAAAAGAGAAGAATTTTACAGAATGCGACTCACCAGTAGTGACGAGGGCTGATCGTATAGCTGCAAGAGACCAATCTGGGTGTGCAGATTTGATGAGAGCTACTATTCCAGTGGCATGAGGACAAGCCATTGAAGTTCCTGATAAGAATGCATAGCCACTTCCATGCTTTGTACCCATTTGTGGGTATGCAGCTAAAATGCTCACTCCTTTTGTAGCTACGTCCGGCTTTTTCAATTGAACCAAAATTGGAATGAGTTCAAACTTGGCATGTTATATATCAACGTCAATAAAAGCACTGAAGAGAATTAATATGCTCTGTTTGCCAAATGAATGAAAAATGCCTAATGAATGAACAAATTCTCCTAACCCCATTGCATTTCACATCAAGCGAATCAATTGAAGGTATCTTCCAAATATCTTCCAGTACTAAGAGAAAATCAATTGAAAGTATCTTCCAAATATAGCCCACAAAGCTTGATTATTCATAAATTGAAACCCTATGGCCAGTCAGGTCTTCAATTTGACTGATTAAAAGAGGATTTAAGTGTTTTGGATCTGAGATCATTTGCATTGAGTTAGAGAGCCATGAATGAGAGTGCAAGGCTGTTCAAAAAAATAAAAATAAAAAAAATAATAGAATGAGAGCGCAAAGAAGATGGGTTTGTCTCTGGCCATAGGGTTTAAGATCTGTTCGAATTATAAAACTACATCATTGTTGTTCCAAGGATACACAATCACATAGAGATATAGAGGAACCATTTCAACCCAGTCGATAGAGGAACCGACTGGAGTGAGAGAGTCGAAAGAAGAGTCAAAAGAAGCGTACCATCTCGCCGCCGAACTAGTCTCGCTGCTGATGAACCAGTTTTGCCGCTGACTGAAACCCTTCCGCTTCAACCCCAGTCTCTCTTCAAACCCTCTATCTTCTCTCTCTCAAATTAAGGTTTGCACACTGTTTTGAAACAGTGTTGTGAAATTAAGGGCTCTACAAACCTGAAAGGAAATGAAAAAAAAAAAAAAAAGGGAAAGGCAGGGGAAAAAAATGTGGGAAATTAAGTTTGGGCGGGCAGGTCGAGTCGGGTTAGTCAGTGAAAAAATGGGGGGAAATTTTGTTTCATTTTTATTTTAATGATTTTTTTTATTTGGTAGAAGTATGGGTAATATTTTAATAAAAAATATTTTCCGTTAAAATAAAGTTAATTTTTTATGATCAATGAAAAAAAAAAATTGTGGCCGATTTTTTTTTGTTACTAAAAATCAAGAGCTAATTTTGTGGTAGAGGAGAGGGAGCGGCAGTACTGGTGAAGGTGGTGGATAAGAGGTGAGGTGGTGGTGGTGGTGATGGCGAAGGAGATTAGTGGTGAAGTTGTGGTAATGGTAGAGGAGATGGAGTGGCGGTGGTGGAGGAAAGGTAATAGTAGTGGTGGTAGTAATAGTGGTGGTGGTGGTAGCAGTGGTGGCAGTGGTAGTGGAGTGGTAGCAGCCTATCTCATCGGCTTTCATTCGCTTGCATCCCAAGGCTTACTACCTATGTAAGATAAAGTTAAATTAATAACTTCTTTCTACATAAATCATAGCTTTTAAAAAAAATTTAGCCTCACTAGCCACCATATAGGTTTAAGAAGATTAGACAGAAGAACTTTAAAATCCTAGCCTATTAACATCTTCTAGGCTCATCTCTTTTCTTATGAAAAAACTGCTTTGTCAATTCCATGATGGTATTCTTGTGTAAATCTGAATATCAAATTTGTCCACAAGGAAACTGATATGTACTACTATATTGTGCATAACCGTTGAATACAAAGCCAATGGATTTTTAGGCCTATCAAAACCCTTTGGGTTTAGGTATTGCCACATTTTGCATGACACCCCCATATTTGTAAAACTTGTATGAAGGCTTTTAGCCTTTCCAAAACTTCATACAAGGTTTTTATACAATACCTAGTGTCACAATGATTATGAGACTCTCAAAATCATATCACAGAAAACACATTCCCAAACCATCATCAACCGAATTAGGTCTTTTCTGAATTCAATGTACCAAAACATATTTGGTCCAACCTATCACTTTGAAGCCAATAGCCTTACTATTGGAAAACACAAATCCAGTGTTCAATAGCCTACTATTCAGAACTTCATAACATGGCCAGTAGTCTTATCACTAAGAATCACTAATTTCTTAGCATGTGGTCAGTAGACTTTCCATTACTAGGAACCACAATGTCTTGACATATGTTCAATAGTCACTTTCATTATTAGGAATCATCATGTCTTGACATATGATCAATAGATCATGTCTTAATATGTAATTAGTAATCTTTTTACTACTAGGAATCACAATCTCATAACTATGTAGCCAGTGGTCTAACGCCTCCTAGGAGCCACCAATTTTCTATCTCTGTAATCAGTGATCTTGTACTTACTAAGAACCACCAATTTAATAATACATTCAGAATTATAAAAATTAAAATTAAAAAAAAATGCATTCAATCAATAGACATTCATTCATTCATTCATTCAAAAACCAAAAATGTTTACACAAATTCAGTCATCATCTTAGCTTCATTGACATCAAAATATTAACAAAAATTTGTTTAATCAATACAAACAGTATGGTGGCAATATGTTATAAATATTAAGCTTGACATCTGAAACCATAATATAATATGTCCAAAAATAAAATTAGCTTCCATGCCACCATTAATTCATCCATTCATTAGTCATTAATTAGTTAGTCTTCATGCAAAACCTGAAAACAAAAACAAATTAAATCAAATACTAGGTAATATAATATATATAGCTTCACCAAGTCATAAACTCAATTTTAGCAAAACACTCCCTAGCTAGTACTATTGGGCCTCACTGAATATAATCAAATTGTCTAGATTATAATCAAATTGTCGAGCTTAGTGCTGGATAGTGAAGGCAATTGGGACATTGTAGTGCTAGAAAACCTGGTCTGCTCTCGAACCATACTAGAAATTCTTAAAATCCATAGGCCCATATTTGTGACCTTCACAGATGCTCCTTTTTGGGTTGGTTCCACTAATGGTAAGTTCATTATTGCTACTGCCTATAAACTTATTGCTAATCAGGACATAAGTAGTGGGGATTGGAACTGGATCTAAAAACTCAAAGTTCCTCAAAAGCTGAAAACTTTCATCTGGCTTATTCTTAAGAGAAGGTTGCTCACTAATCATATGAGACTCATAAGGAATATAGCCTCAACTAACTTGTGCCCCAGATGTGGATTAGCTAGTGAAGACATGAATCATCTCCTCAGAGAGTGCAACTCCTCCAAATACATTTGGGTTCAAATAAAGGACACTAAATGGTGAGAGGATAGATGTGGTCAGCCACTTTTTGAATGGGTTGCTGAGAATTTGAAAAATAAAACTGAGTTTTTTGGTAAAAAATGGTATACTATTTTCATTGTTACCCTTTGGCAGTTATGGAAAGATCGAAACAAACTTGTTTTTGAAAGCCGGGAATATCATTTTCAGGTATAGGAAGCATGCCACCTCCAAGGACATAGCTGGGAGGCTAGTGGCGGACATAGTTATGTCGTTTTACTGTTGATGTATTACATGTAATTTCAAGCCAAGGGCTTAATGTGTAAACGAGTTAGAACTCTTTGTT